TGCCTTGGCCTCCCAGAGTGCTAGGATTACAGGCCAAGGCGCCCGGCCTCTCCATGTGTTTTTGATTTGCATTTCCCTAAAGGCTGGCGATGGGCATTTTTTCATGTGCTTATTGAACTTTTGTGTATCATCTTTGGAGAAATGTCTGTTTAAGTCTCTTGCCAATTTTTGAATTGGGTTTTTTGTTTCTTTGTTGTGTTGTACGTATAGCTATTCTTTTAAAATTTATTTTCTACTTGAGTTAAATCTTTTTTCTGAAAGCCTAACGTTTCTGAAAATGAATGAAATATTGATTTTTTGATAGAAATAGAAAATTTGCTTTTCAGATGGATAAAAAATTATAAGAAAAACTTATGACCAATCGAATTTAATAGAGTTTAATTGAACAAAGACCAATTCTCAAATCGGGCAGCTCCCCCAAACCAGAAGAGATTCAGATCTATTCCAGGGCTGCCACGTGGTTGGATAATATTTATGGTCACAGAAAGGAAAGTGACCTATAGAAAAACAGAGGTGAAACACAGAAGCAGCTGAATTAGTTACAGCTCAGCTTTTGCCTTATTTGAACATGGTTTGAAAAGTTGGCTGCCTGTGATTGGCCAAAACTCTGTGATTGGTACAAGAGTAGGTTACAGACTGTTTACATATCCAGTTAGGTTACAGTTCACTAGTGTATGAGAAACATTTAGGCCGAACTTAAAATATGAAAAGAGGCAGCTTTAGGCTAAACTGAATTTAACACAACGAAGAGGCTGCTTTTATATCTGAAAAAGATTTTGGCTTATTTAGTAGGTCTATATTTAGGTCGCAACCAGACATAAATTAGTACTGTGAACTTATTTCCATCACATCATTATTACAAAGGTGCACCCATTAAATGAAGATCATATTTTCATCAATGAATAAATTCTTCTGAAAGAACTTTCCTTTGTTTATAAAGTGTTGTGTAACAAGGCTAGGAGTGTGTGTGTGGGTTATTTGATGGAGAACAAAGAAGTATGGTATATATTAATACATTTGTACTTGATCACTCTCAGTGTTCCCCAAGCTGGAGAGGGAGGGGTGGGAGCTTCCCCAAGAGAGGCAGTAGGTTAATGTGTATATAGCCAACTTTGATTGGAAATGGAAATAATGAAGAATATTTGGAATGGAATGTAATAAAGGTTGTTTTAATGTACCAAGTCATTTCACGTAGTACACTAATTAGATAGTAATAATGGGATTACAAGAGTAACTCGTTATCAGATGATTTATTCATTTATCTGATATTTATTTAGCTCCTAAGTGCCTGAGATACATTGAAGAACAAAACTCAAGTAGTCATGTGACTGATGGTTGCATAATTTTGTAAATTTAGTAGAAATCATTGAACACTTGAAACTAGTAAATTTTATAGTATGTAAATTATACGTTAATTACCTGTTTAAAAAAAAAAAGCTCACCGGTGGACTTCAGAAAGCTTACACTTTGTTGGTAGAAACAGCCATCAAACAAACACAGAGGCCGGGCGCAGTGGCTCACGCCTGTAATCCTAGCACTCTGGGAGGCCAAGGCGGGTGGATCACTCAAGGTTAGGAGTTGGAGACCACCCTGAACAAGAGCGAGACCCTGTCTCTACTAAAAAATAGAAAGAAATGATCTGGACAACTAAAAAAATATATATAAAAATTAGCCGAGCATGGTGACGCATGCCTGTAATCCCAGCTACTCGAGAGGCTGAGGCAGAAGGATCGCTTGAGCCCAGGAGTCTGAGGTTGCTGTGAGCTAGGCTGGCGCCACGGCACTCTAGCCTGGGCAACAGAGCAAGACTCTGTCTCAAAAAA